CCCTTTGTGCATCATTAGAAGTAAAACCTTTACAATTTACATTGGCAGTGCCAGGTTTATTTGACTAGCTTTTGAATACAGGGAAAAGTAAACACGGAATCATGGTGTACATGATTAAGATCTCAATGTACCTGACCATCAGGGATCCTGGTCTTCTCTGTTTAAAAAGCCCAGATTCTCTGATTAAACCCCCAAAGTCTGAATTTCTCCACAATTAAAATTAAATGCAAGCAGTTGAACACAATGTTTTCTTAATTGCTTTAGAATTCTAAAGCAATCTGGAAACCTATGAGTGCCTCAATCATTATAATAAAATAAATTCTAAATACCTGTAAATTTTGGCATTTGATTTTGGTTGGGGGTGGGGTTGTTTGTTTGTATAAATCACCCAGTCTCCTGCTCCTGCTGGTGCCCCTCACTCCAAAACCACAGTCACCCACCCCCCCAGTGTGAGAGAAAGGGGATGGCAGAGGTGATGCATGGGGGCAGTGAAGGGGGCACATGCCTCAGGTTTCTGCACCCACAATGGGGTGCACAGCTGCAGCTGGGTTGGACCAGCCCCAGATAGGAGCTGCCTCTGCAGCCCAGCAGGGGGGATCTGGCACAGGAGGGAGCACCACACCGCCATGGTGAGGCACAGCAGAATGGAGTTGTGATCCCTGCTGCTGCCCGGCAGGCAGGGTGTCGCCTCACCTTAGGAGCTATGGCAGCATGGTGCTCCCTCCCCACCAGGTTCCACCAGCTATGCCATGAAGGTAGCTCCTCCCTGGAGCTGGTTTGGCCAATGGCCAGGGTACAGCCCACTGTGGGCACAGAAATCATGGGGTGGAGGAGCTTGCTCCCCTCCTCCCCCCCATGGACTTTACCTAGAGGGAGCTAAGGGAACCGCTCTCCACCACCTTGCCTGGCTACCACTTACACGTATGCACATGTACATACACATGGCACCCCCTGCATCCCACTCACCCTAGCCCCAAGCAGCCTCTTGCAGGCTGGAACTCTGGTAGACTGCAAGGGGAAAAAAATCCATGGGTTCCCACAGTTTTTCCCCTTTAAAGGAGAAAATCTGCATTTTTCCCCACAGAAAAACCCAGATCCTCACTGATCATCCCAACCAATGGAGACATCTGACCCATGGAGCCACGTCAACCGGCCCATGAGGCACCCCTCAGGTCCAGAAATTTGGCAACCAGTGAGTGGTGGCAGAGTTAATTGCTCCTGGAGCTGTGGAGTTACAACAATTAACACTGCCACTGCTCCCCAACTGCCAAAGTTTCCAGACTTGTGGGGAACCCCATATTCTGGATGACAGCCTCACACATGGGGTTGGGCTGGTACATGCAGTCTATGCATGGATCTGGTGGGAGGGGTCAGGCTGGTGCACCAAATGGCATCCATGGACCCCATGCTTAGGGATCTAGTGCACAGACAGGCCCTGTGCCACTCATCTGGCCTGCTGAACCAAATAGATAGAGCACTGCTGATCTAAATTAAGTTATTAAATTCCACAATGTAAGTTATACGTTTTTCAAAACAGAGGGGAAGATAGTTTTAAAAATAAAACTGTTAAACTAGCCAGCATGAAGGACACTTCTTTCAAGGCACTGAATCTTCCTATTTATTATAGCACAGAAATCTGTGAAAAACTACATGGGGGCAAGGATGCCCCTACAGTCAGCTATAAGGTGAAACTTCATTATGGCATCAGAGTTTAGTATAGCACAATTAGAGAGAGACACCAACTGTATTTCCATCCACTCACAAAGCTCATAATGTTTTTATCTTTGGTACTGCACTTATCAGACATTCTTCTAGTTTTGTCTCCCCAAATCGTCATGAATACAAAGATATGGAAAATCTGCACGAAGAGCAAATATGAATAAAGATTTTCCATTTTGAAAGAGGCAGGAAATGATCAGTCTCAGTGTAGCTTTTCTAAAAGAATACAGGTCAGCTAGTGGTGCATTATGCTTCCTAGCACTGGACTATTAATCCTTCTATCACTCCATGTTAGAAAATGAAATTAAAAAAAAAAAAAAAAAAAATCCAATTATTCCTCTAAATCAATCCAGATGAAATTCTGGTGTGCACTGTAGCGAGAAAACGGGACATTTAAACTAATGTTAATGTCCACACTAACTACAAACATTACAAGACTATCTGTAATGAGCTAACTTTTCAAAGTAAATATTCAGTCATTATCAAAGTCATCAATTTATATAATCCGGAATAAAAAGAGGGATGACTCAATTAATGAAAAATATGACAGCCAGGGCCAGCCCACAATTTTTTGAGGCTCCCTGATCCATCGGCAGAGCCAACCATAGCAGGGTACAGGGCCTGGGGCAAATCAGCCTGTGTGGGGCCCCCTTTACTGTCCCACGGCACAAAAATGCTGGTAAAATGAACATCCTAGTACACCAGACACGGGGGGAGGGGTTAAACAAACAACCAACCAACCTGCCAGGTGGGCTACACTGCAAACAAGGCAACCACCAAATGCAAGAGGGGCCGTGGCCTCTCCGCCCAGCTCTGCGGGACCCCCCGCAGCCGCAGGTTCCGGAGAATAGGACAGGCCGGCCCTGCTGACAGCAAATTAAGAGGCAGGATTCTCCCTTGGTAATTTTTGTACTCGTCGTACATTAAATGACATCTCAGTATTTAACATTTTGATACAAATTCAAATGATGCCAAGGACAAAATTCAGAAACCTTTTATATTTATTCCTTCCTATAAATGTGATGACATATTGCAAGCTGATGAATAGGTCACTTTTATAGACGTTTTCAGTGTTTGGTTTTATTCCTTCCTTACCGTCCCCCTCCTCAACAAACCAAAATCTCCCTTTCCTTCTCACTTCAAGATGTGTCAGGTATAAAAATGCATTTTATTGCACTTAATGAATAGATTTTATTTTAGCACATTATGACAGTTAGACCAAGATGGAACTTAAAATTATAGAAATTAAATTTAGCACTAGGTAATGTTCAAAACATGCTTTTGCATGATTCAAACATCAAGCTGGTTTAAACTACTGCATCCACTTTTGAAGGCAGAACTGCAGATGCACAGAGGAAGAGCAGAAGCAGCATTTCCAGAGGGCTCACCATCACTGCACCCAGTGTGAATGTAGGAAGTAATAAGCAACTTGCTTTTACAATACTTGACAGTAACAACATAAAGACTGGAATTAAATCATACCCAGCTATTTAAGAGAGAAGAGTTGCAAGAGTCCTTTTCTATGCTTAACAAAGAAAGACTATAAAAAGGAAATACACATTCAAAACAGAGGCTACGTGTTTGAGTTAATTCACATTCAGACTCAGTAGATTGCAACTCTCCTTTCCCAACTCCCCATTATTTTCCAAAGGCTCCAGTAGCACTGAAATATGCAAGAGAGTAGCATTTGCCAAATGAGGCCTGACAATACCAACCCTTGGGGAGGACAATAAAAATACTTCCTGTCAGTTCTTAAGATTCAGAGTTAAAATCCACCCAACATTTAAGATGCTCCTTTGAAATGATATGATGTGCTAGGGAATGTGGCAACTGTCTAATGTCACCCAGTGTAAAGCACAGAACAATACATACAATATAACTACTAACATAACATAACACAACACCACACCCCATCATACCTTATTGCTTAGTTGCGATTACCTGAACAACCTGGCCAGATCTTTCACTACTCACCTGCTCACTGTAGAGAACCTGGACGTTTTTGATAATACGACAGTGTTTTTGAAGAATTGCTACAGCCTGAGCCAATGGCATTCCTGCAAATAAAAACAATCATATTTCTCCAATCTGACCAAAACCCACACCGCCCACAAAACAACAACTCTTTGTCAGTGATGTGGCCACAGGTTAAAGCTAAAGGTGTGGTGATACTGGCCCATCAGGTAAGAGTAAATTACAACATAAAGATTTGCAAGACAACAAATAAACCTGCTTTGGTCTTTATCTCAGCATAAGCCTATGTTTCTGGAACAGAAAGGCCAGCACCTAGGCAACTGACTGACTGATTATCCCCAAAGGCAAAAATAAAAGACAAAAAACTTGTGTAAGAAAACTTCAACATTTCAACATTTATAGAGCAGGTTTCTATTTAATTAGCCTTTCCTGGGGGATTCAATTTGCCAGTGGTTCTCAAGGTTGCTAGATTGGAGGCATCCCTTGGAAAATGCCAGCATTTAGCTTTCATTCATTTTTTGAGTATAGAAAAATACTAGAGCAATTCTTCTGTTGCAAAGAACTCAGAAATACCACTACAGGTCAGAATGTTTTTGACACTCCGGATGACTATTTGAAATCTCTGTGTTTATCTTGTGAAGGTATCTGCATGTAGAACTGCTAATAAGGATGCTGCACAGTAAAAGGAGCTCATGCATCTTTTTGAGACTCACAGGGTAGCCTTTTAATAGCTCAATCCAAAACTCATTGAAGCCAAAGGGTATGATCAACAGACTTCTGAGTCAGTCCCTTACAGGGGGACATTTAACAATCCCTGGTAACCTATTCAGCAACTGTGCAATACAAGTGAAATGCAGAGGAAAATATTTTTCATCAGATTTTTCTTATTATAAAAGTTCTGCTTCCAGTTTACGGGCCAATCAATGATGCAAGTCAATGATGCAAATCCAGGGATTCTAGTTAGAATGAATTTGCTAAATAAATGTGAGTGCCTTCTAAAGAAACTGTTCAGCAGATTCAGTTAAGGAAAGGAGGTACAAACAATATAGTGTTACAATCTGCTTTAATGAAAATAAAAGCCCTGCTACAATTTGTTTTCCCACACCACTTTAGGGAACACTTATTTGTAACCTGTAAAACTAGTGGATACCTTTTGGGTTGATGTTAAACAGTGACTGTGCATACAGAATACTGCTGTATCAGCTAATCTTCAGCAGTGAAAACAAAGCCTGAACTGTATCTCTTAAGGAAATGTGATCATGTGCAAACCAGATGTGAATCTGGTACCTAACATGAGACAGAACTGATTGCCACATGTTAATTTGCCTATTTTTATTGACAAATCCTGCCTCTTTCTAGATTTTCTCATTTTGAAAGTTTGTCTTAAGCCAAGTGTCTCCATTCAGGAAAATTTGGTAATTATTTTAGTCAATGTCTCATACTCATATAAAAATTTTAAGTTACTGGCTATTAACTCTATTCTTAATGAATACCTAACTATATAGCCCTTGCCCCCAGGCCATTCTTCAGTTCACTACAATGCCCCAGCCCATTTTCAATTCACTACACAGATGAAGCTTTACTGTAACAACACCAGAGATAATGCACACATTTTTACCAATATGTCATCCAACTCTCATGTCTTAACTCTCTCCATACCACAACTTGTGCTGATAAAGAATTACAGCTTCGAGTTTTGCAAGAACAGACACATTTATAAATTAATAATATAAGTGTTCAAGCTATAAACACTGAATATAAATCTTGTTGAAAAAAAAAAAAAGATTCCCTGAGGTACCTATCAGTATGAGGAAAAAATTTAATCATAAATAGAAAGCTGGACTCCAGGGAGATATTTCTTCTTTATTATTATTTTAGATGAAAAAGACAAGCTGAGCCATTGGCACTGCTCAGAACTGCCAAAAGGGATATCCAGATTCAATTAAAAAAAAAAAAAAAAATCACTTGTTCACACATATAAACAACAGGATTTGGGAGAACTGAAGAACTTCCATAATCAGTCAAGGAAGGGAAAATGTAAACTTTTCAAACTTAATTCATAAGTGATATATGAAATGGAGAGGGTAAATAGGTGGAAAATAGATCAGAAGTACTGGGCTGAAAAAAATGCTTGTGGATTTGTACATTTCAGTATTATTGTAATGATACAAAGATGTTTCATATTATCAAGGAGACGACCAAAACATTCTTATATAAGCACTCTAAAAATACTCTTAGAAGATGGATATTACCTCTTAAATAGCACCTTTAAAATATAAACTAAATAATTGCCACAGGATTTTTAATGTCAAAAGGTGCTAAAGTGTCCAGCACATTCCAGGCATTAAGTAAATCTCATAACATACATGCAAAGATAGGTTACTTTGCAATATATGTTGAGTACCTAATTTTTGGATTCTCAAAGCCCAATACTTTCAAGTTGAAAAATACATAGATGCAGAGGTGAAAAAACTATTTAAAAAACTAAGTACATTGAGGCTCAAAGGCTCAATTCAGATTTAAAGATTCCATGTGGCCATGGCACGTGGCATCGACTTCAAAATGAAAAATAGTAAACTTCTTGTTGCAAAAACTACCTTCAAAACTGATCCAGAAATAGACTCCGAGGTCCTGTGTTCCAAAAAGGTTCTGAGACAGCTAATGTCCTTATTACTCAGAGCCTTCCCCAGATGCAAACAATAGAAAAACAGACTGCTTTTAGTCAATTCTCACTGATTAAGAACCAGGTTGATTTACTGTAGTGCTGCTTAGCAAAGCTCTGAATAGTAGCAGAGGTAACTCCCAGAATAGTTTGGAGAAGAACCTGAAACAGAAGTGGAGGGTAGTGCACCCACCCATCTCCTGCAGTAAACAAAATCAAGGTAGGGACAAAGTAACAAAACATCCCCACCCATCCCAGCCACAACCAGGAGGCTCTGTGGTGAGAGAGAACAGAGAAGGTTGTTTCTCTTCTGCCAGTCAGTTGGCATTCAGGTGGGAGCAGAAATGGCTACCAATTCATCAGTCAGTAGTAGCTACCCAAATTCAGATACAGGTTCTATAAGTGTAATCTAGTGCCAACAGCTTGGCATCCCACTATCCCACACCCCTCATTCCAACAGCTAGGACGACAAGGCTAACTTCTTATGTATGCATCGCCTACGAAAAGAAGTACCATCTAGCTACTCGTTTCAAGCTAGTTGTTTCAGGCCCTCGGTTGTTAAATATCTAGTAAAAATTCTAAGACTGACATGTTTTACAATGGGTAGCTGAGAGAAGGACAGAGAAAAGAGAACGAGGATAATGTAGTAAAAGGTGCACCATGTCCTACTTTAGGAAAGGAATTAAAAAAAAAAAAAAGCTACAAAAAGGTAAACCATGTAGAATAGAAAACCATGTAGAATAGAAAGCTCATGCCAGTAAGTGCTCACTTATCTGCCTCCTCTAAAATGGCAAAGGATGGTCCAGGAAGTGGGGTAGCGCAGTCATTTTTAAATGACCAGAAGACTCAATCCTCAGGTAAATTTCTTATGCCCTGGTCACACAGTGAGTCAGCACCTGAGACAGGAACAGAATCTGAGGTCCTGTCTACAAAGTTTCCCTGGCATTTCCTACTAATCACCTCCCACCACGGTATGACACCAGGGAGACAAAGGCATCAGCATTTCAAGCATGCTGTCATCTAATTCTACTCAAAGTAGATCTAATTGTCACAGCTCACAGGAACACCATTTGGCTGCCAGAAATCTATTTACATGACTGCTCCCAACCATTCTCTCCCCTGGCAGAACTGAACCTATTTTAGCACCAACAGAAAATCTCTGCTAAATATCACCCACACTGACAAAATGCAAGCGATTTGCAAGCCATTTAGTTCTCTCCTCTAAATCCCTAGGTCACACAAATAGTATCTCACGCCTCATGAGCTGAGCTGTGAATTATGGCTGCTTACTGATCTTAAAAAACAAAAATAAACAAACAAACAACCCCCCCAACCAAAACCAACCCTTCCCTCACCTCCAAAACAGTGCTTTACTATAAACTTGGCATGCTCCCACAGAGCCCAGCACATACCCAGAAGAGGCAGTGCCTTAAATTGCACCCTGCTTGCCCAACATCTATATATATCGGGTGTTTTAGTGGGGCTTTTTTGGCGCTTTTATCTACTAGCTGATTCAGTAGATAAAAGCATCAAAAAGCCCAGCTGAAGTGCCCACTCTATACAGATGATGCAGAGCTGGGTCAAACTAAAGCACTGCTTCTTCTGGTAAAGTGTGGTTTGTTTGGGGTTGTTTTTTTTTTTTTTTTTTTTTTTTTTTAAAAT